TGTCGCGCTCTCCTGGGCCGGGCCTAAGCCGTGCCAGGCGAGGGACGGACGTTTGTGTCAAACGGGCCCGCTCGGAGCCCGCTGCCCGCGGGGCCCTCGCCCTGCGCCAGCCCCCGGAGCCCGCTGCCCGCGCCGCCCAGGCCCTTCCCCTACCGCCGCTCGCCCACGGACTCCGACGTGTCCCTAGACTCCGAGGACTCCGGGGCTAAGTCGCCCGGCATCCTTGGCTACAACATCTGTCCCCGCGGGTGGAACGGCAGCCTAAGGCTCAAGCGTGGCAGCCTCCCCGCCGAGGCCTCCTGCACCACCTAAAGCCTCCCCCGTCCCTACCCCCTCTCCACCCCGGGAGGGCCGGGCCCGAAGAAGAGTCATCAGGCTTGGTAGATCCCAGCGCCACGTCCCCAGGGGGTCTGGCCTCTTTGGACAGCCCCAGAGACAGGGGGTCAGGGGAGGAGAGCTCTGGGCTTGGAGGTGGGGTGGTGATTCAGGCTTGGGTTCTAGCCTCTATCCTTCAGTCGTTTTGTGACCCTGGGCAAGACCCTTCCTCTGTCTAACCCTCAGCTTTCCCGTCTGTTTAATGGGGCTGTGGCCAAGGCAATCTTCAAATACCTAAGCTCCCCTTCCCATCAATATACTAGGTGGCTTGGAAGAGGGTGTTGTGTATATGGACCCCTAGACTTGCTGCCTTCCGGGGCACCATGCTCCTCCCTCCCTTCCTGGCTCTGCTCTCTGAGGAGTCTGGCAAATGAGCCATGTGTTCAGAAGATCCTAGGTCTAAGTTCCCTGTCCAGGCCCCGGCTTGACCATTTGCCTCCCTGGCACCAAGTCCCAAGCAGGAGCAGCTGTTTTCCATCCCTTCCCAGACAAGCTCTATTTTTACCACAGTGACCTTTAGAGAGGTCTCCCAGGCCAGCTCAAGGTGCCCCACTGGGCCCTCTGGAGAGGAGAGGCAGGAAGATTCCTCCTCCCAGATCCCTCTCATGCTTTTGTGCACCCCAGCTCGGACTGCCTGGGGTGTCTTATCTGCGGCCAGAGAAGAGAGCTGTAAAGCGATATTTCTCCCATGCCCAGGACTTGGACCTCCAGGAATGCTATAGGTGCCTCCAACCCATCTATCCCTTCTGGGCCCTTTCATGGCAGGTTCCGGGCTCAAAGCTGAAGGGGAGAGAAGAGTTGATAAGGAGCTATCTGCCATCCTGTGGCTTTACCTGAGGCCCTGAGCTTGAGGTCGCCTGTTTGGAAAGAGAGAGGCAGAGTTCCTTGTTATGGGAGGTATGCAGCAGTGGCCAGGATGCATAGAGGAGATTCTAGTAGGGAATGGATTGGCTCAGATGACCTCTGAGGGCTCTTCCAGTCCTGAAATACATTCCACGGTATTAGAAAGAGAGGGAGAGTAGTGGTGGAGGAATGGCTGGGCAGAATTCAGGGGCAGATGAGCTTGGGTGGGTGAGTGAGGGGTTAGACCAGAGTCTGCCTGTGTCTCTGGTTCTTGAGGAAGTACCCCACTCTTCCGTTTCAGGCCCTAGCATCTATATCATGCCCAGATGAGTGGGCACTGTGCTTCCCCATCGTGCTCTGGCCTAGCTAGTGCCTGGTGCCCAGTGACATTGGGGAGCCTGGCTGCAGGCCCTAGCCTGTCCCTTAAACCTCATTGGCTCTGATTCTAATCCCCAGGTGGGACACCCGGAGGAATGGGGCTGAGTTCTATAATTTCCAGAGTTGGTTGGTGGTGCCCTCTAGAGGTTCAGAATATCAGCTTCAGAATAATCACTACAGGGGAATGAGGGAGGGGGTGGGGAGGGGAAGGAATTGGCTGAGGATCAAAGGTATGTAGGGGGAAGGATACCAGGATGTTGCTAAAGGTGAGGAGTGTAATTTGGGGTTAGGGATAGACTTACCCACCCATCAGGGTGATGTTAGACCTGGAACCCCTAAGTGAGGCTAGGGAAAGCCAGGGTCAGGATGGGAGAGAGTCAGGGTGGGGATGGGGTGCTTTGGAATAAAGGAGTGATCCCAGAGGGTTCCTGGGGCCTAAGAATTGGGAACACTGTTGAAAAGATGAGAGGGTGCTCCTGCTTGGTCAATGATGAGTGACCACCTTTACCTAAGTCCCCATCTGAGTCAGTATCCTTTGTAGCACGGGAGGCTGGGGCTGAGGGCCTCTTTCAGAGAAGAGACACTATCAGGCCATTGGCTGATGTAGTGGCATAGAAAAATCCATTTATACCTGCATTTCCCCAAAGAGCCAGCAGGAGGCAGCCTTGGGAATCTGCAGTTCTGTCTGGCTGTTCTCTCCCTGTCACTGCCTTCTCCCCCCATCCTCTTCTCTAACGCTGTGTCCTGCCTCTTGCCTCCTGTAGAATTCAGCTCTGGCCCTCAATAAATGCTTCCTGCATCCTTCTGCCTCCTGTGTTATTTTCAGCTGTGTCTAAAGCCCCTTCCTTCTCCCCAACGGTGGAACAGTCCATGCCATTCTGGGTGGATGAGAATGTTTGATACATGTGGAATGGAAGCTTGGGAACAAAGGGAAAACTCTGGGCCATAGAAGAAGTTCCTGGGTTGAAGTCCTGGTCGTCTACTAGCTGGGTGACCCTGGGTAAGCCTACTCCTCCAGGCCTCAGCTTTCCTCTCATCTGTGTAATGAGTGAGCTGGGCGAGGTGATGTCTCAGGGTGGTAGTGCCCATTGTCACGGCAGTGGGCAGGGCCAAGCTGGGGCAGGGCCTAGTGCTCTGGGGCTGCTTCCTCATGGCAGATCCGGGCTCCAGGCAGGAGGAAGAGCCCCTACAAGAGGTTGCATCTGAGTCTAGGCAACTCTGGTGAGCTCAGGACCCAGACCATCAGGAATGCTCCTCTCTTGATGGGGGCATCCTTTGCCCAGAGAAGGGGATTGTGGCCCCACTCCCAGGTGAGGCCAAGCCTGCCCTGGGAACATCCCTCACCTTCCTCTCTAGAAGCTCAGGCCCAGCAGAGGCTGGACAGAGGAAGCTGAGGGGCAGGAAGCCGAGCTCAGATGGGCCACAGCAGGGTCCAGGCTTCTTCCTAAGAGGGTGTCAGAAATACACCCTTGGACAGTGTGTCTCGGCACGCAGGTACAGGTGCTCCCCACCCTGGACCCAGCACATCCTTGCAGGTCCCACCTTTCCCTGGGAGCGGTTGGTGCGCCTCTGACCCAATCTTTATCTTCAGCCAGAACCTCTCCTGAGCGCAGTGTCCCCCGGCCCACTGTGATCCCAGTCCCTGGACACCTCAAACCAAGTTCACCCCAAACTGAACTCAATATTTGCCCCCTCTCCCCAATCTGCTCCTCCCCTGTTACCTACCCCAAGCAGAAACAGGAGCGGCCCTTTCCTCACTTCCCGCATCCAGTCTCTCACCAGGACCTGGTGACAGCCCAATACCTCTCGAGGCCCTTCCCTCCTCTCCATGCCCTCTGTCACTGCCCCAGTACAGCCACCCCATGTCTTACCTGATCACAGTGAAATCTTCCGCTCCAATCTGGCTCCCTCAGCCCATTTTCCCCGCGGCAGCCAGAGATATCTCTGGACAATGCCAATCTGACCACTCCGTTCCCCTGCTTTAAACTCTTCAACAGTCCTTTATAAAGCACACTTTCCTTTTGAAAAGCCTGCTATGATCTGGCCCCTGCCCATCTGTCTGTCCTCATCTCTCAGCACCACCCCACTCTCCCAGTTCTGGCTCTAATTTCAACCCCCTAACATCCTTATACATGACGCGGCCTCTGCCTGCAATGTCCAGTGAACTCTCACTCAGCCTTCGAGGCCCAGCCCAAACATCTCCTCCTCTGGGAAGCCTTCCCCACACCCCCCAGGCCAAGCTGGTGGCACCCTCCCGTGGGTGCTCCCAGAACATTTCCCATGATGCGTTGCAAAGGCTTGTTTACAGGTCTGACTCGGCCTGGCTGAGCTCCTTGAGGGCAGAGCCCTGTCTTATTTATTTTCAGTCCATAGAGAGAGGCTCAGAGAATGCGAGAAGGTGGAGGGAGGGAGGGAGAGAAGGAGGAAGGAATGAGGCAGAAGGAAGAAAGGAAGGCAGGAAAGAAGGAATGAATAAGTCAAGCAAAGATATTGGAGGTCAATTCATTTATCTATCCATCCATTCATTAATTCAACAAACAACTCTCGAGTTCCCGTCAGGTCCCATTCCAGGCATTAAGGACACAATTAGCAAGCTCAAGTGACTGGTGACTGACTCTCAGCATTTCCAGGTGACTTTGGTGTGTGCATGTGTACATGTGTGTGCATGTGTGTGCAAGACCTTCTGTCTGAAAGGGCCTGCTGCCGGGGCACCTGTCTTTCCTGGGGCCTGGTGCTTTTAGCATCTGTCCCTGGATCCTGTTGCAGCCTGAAATAAGGCTGTGAGCCACGACAAGGCAGAAATGATTTTCGTCAGCTGAGGCCAGAGCTGGCTGCAGGGCACACCCTGCTCACTGACCGCCGACCACCGGCGGGGACACCGACAACGCAACCCTAAGCTTCCTGACAGAGGTGTTAATCCTGAGGGTCTGATACCGCCTCCTGCCCACTGCGGTCCTATCTTTCAGGTACCGGGATCCTAGGAGAGCTCAAGGAGCTGTGGGGAGTGGGCAGAGGAGATGAGCTAATTCCCAAAGCTCCTTCCCCCTCAAGCAGAGGAAAGGCCCTGCAGAGGGTGTGGGGAGCGTGGGGCTTCATGGAAGCCTGGGCCCTGAGCTGAGAAGGGAGGGATTCTAAGCTCCAGGTTACTCTAGGTTAAATGGGGAGGGGGTGGCTAGGATTCAAGGTGGGGGCTAGGGAATGGCCCTGCTCAGGACTCCCAGATCTTTAGGCAGTAGGGGGAAGCAGGGTCCCTGTTTGTAAAATGAGGGGACCTTCCCAATGCCTGTGAATTTCTGTAAGGGGAGTGTTTAATCAAGAAAAGACCCGTGGACTGTGGAATCCTAAGTGGTCACGGTTGGAGCACTCTCAGTCATCTCTGCTCCTCACCCCAAATGCACGCGAGCATGCTCATGTTTATGTACAGTTTTAGGGGACTCGTGGCTTCCTTGAAGCCCACCCATGGATCCCCACAATCCAGCGCAACCTCCTTATGTTACAGAGGGGATTGAGGCACAGAGCTGGGGACCTATTGCCCGCGGTTACAGAGGAAGTCAGGGACACTCACTGGACTCCACGTCACCCAGCGCAGTGCCCACTGACCTAGGCCGGGTGTGGGTGTGGGGGGTACAGAGGGAGACTGATTGTGTTTCTAAAGGAAGGTGTATAGAGAAGCCTGGAAGCAAAGCAGAGGGGCACAGGGGTGGGTAGCCTGTCAGGGGCTCAAGGGCTCTGCCTTCTCTCCTGAGGGCAAGTTAGGGGATCTGGACCTGGGACCTACTGGGGTTCTCCGGGGCTCTGGACCTCATTTTATTTATAAATCTCCTCCAAGATTCCTGGAGAGTGCCGTGAGAGGCAAATGCAGGGATGGAGCAGGAGGGAGAGAAGGGGTGAGAGAGAAGAGAGCACCATGCAAGTTAGCCAAGGGATAGGGATGAGAGAAGAGGGGTGATGTTCTCTCAGCTTCCTTGGACCAGCCTGTGCCCTCAAGCCTCAGGGCCAAGTACTGGAGACAGAGGGGAGGATCAGCCTTGCAGATGCCAGTGTAGCCCCAGCCTAACCACCCATACCCCTCTCCTCCTGACTTAAACCTCCAACTTCTTTTAGCCTCTGATCAGAGCTCACCTGAGTCAGCGAATGACAGTAGTTTGAGACCCCCACCTCCCCCACCCCTAATGTCCCAGAGACCACCCCCTCATGAGAGAGTGCTTCCCCATCAACATGGAAGCAGATCTGTGCGACCTTGAGCATCTCCCTCGCCCTCCCTGGACCTCAGTCTCCTCCTCTGTACAAAGAGACCCCAACAGCCTTTCCAGCTCAGACTGCCCTTGCTTGAGACTTTGGGGTGGGCCAAGGCTGTTCAGGGCTGGGCTGGGTGGACCAGGGCCTGGAAGGAGGTCTGGGGAGGGATGGAGGCAGCCTGGCCCATTTGCAGGAGTCTCTCCTCCACAGGATGATCCCCAAGGAGCAGAAGGGGCCCGTGATGGCTGCCACGGGGGACCTCGCTGGACCAGGTAAGGTGGACCCAGCTCTTGTCCGTTCCTCAGACCCCATCCTTTCTCTGTCCTAGACTGCAGCCACTCAGGCGTGCTGGCCCCAGGCCTGGGCAAACAGGTGTGAGTTTCAGGCCAGCCCTGAGAGAGTGCCGGTGGAATCTGCTGCCTGGGCTGGGAAGCTTCCTAAAGCAATGGGAGGGGCCTTGCCCTGATGTCTGCACACCCAGGAGCTGAGGTTGAGTGCCCTAGATTAGGGCCTGGGCCCCAGATTGAGCTCTCAGGGCTCTGGTCCTGGATCCAGCCCTAATTGTGGCCCCCAGCTCCCCATGCACTTGCCCTCGCTTATTGCAGCTGTGGGTCTCCCCCAGGCCTCAGGACGCCCAGGGCAGCCCAGCCCCATGGCTAGAAACAGGGGTGGGGGGGGTGGGCAGGGTGGCAAAAGGAGGCTACCCAATCTGTCTCCAACCATTTCACTTAAAAGCTGACTCATCCAATGAATAAATCATCTAAAAAAACATGTTTATCAACTTTGTAAGACCTCTTCCGGAACTCTTGGCATAATTTTGGAGTCTGTTTATTTGGCCTACATTAGAGCATTTCAAGTATTTTAAAGACGAATTCAACCAACTCAGGGCTCTCAAACTTTAGGGTTGATCATGTGACTGATGGTGTTGGTTAAAAATCCATATTCCCAGCCTTTTAGACGTGTGAGAGATGATTCCAATGCAGGTGGACGGTGAACCAGCTCTGATAAACCCTCGTCGAAGGGATCTGCTGCAGTTTTACCTCCTTCAGAGTTCTAGAAGTGTTTAATCACATTGTATGACTTTAGATGTGACTGGTCCTTTTAATGCATTTTGTGTGTTCTTGGCTCCTTTTGTTGGTGTCAGGTTTCTTTTCTTATTCCATGATGTTCCGTGCTGAAATATGCAAGCTTTGTGAGGCATTGATGCTCTAACTAGAAGACTCAGGCAATGCATTCTCTTTTCTCTTGTCTGAGTAATTAATTAATTACAGACCCCCAAATATTGACACACATCATTTATGCCAGACTGGAAATTTATAGTGGACTATTGCTAGAGTATTAATTAAAGACAATTTTGAAACTAAAGAAAAGTAGAAAAAAAATCTCGTGGTCTCACCACCAAAAGACAGCCATTGTAAAGTAATAATAATAAAAACACCTGCCATTATCGTGTGCTTACTATGCGTCAGATACTGCGCTAAGAGCTTTTATGCTTTATGTTATATAACCCTCACGACAACTCCGTACATTAGAGATTATTATCCACACTTTGCAGATGAGAAAACTGAGGCTCAGAGGCGTTAGGCAGTCACACATCCAGTAGGTGGCAGAGCTGAGATTTGACTCCAGAGCCACTTCTTTACTATACGGCTGTACAAATAATACAGCCATTTTATAAAACATTCAGACAAAACAGACATGAATGACTTTGAAAGTGAAAGTTCCTCACAATGGAACCATCTGAAAATAACCGCTGTTAACGTATTTGTGTAAATCCTTCTTCTGTTCATGTATAGACATATTTATATAAACACATACACATATGGGCTAAATACTATACACTGTGTTATTCAGCTTAAGTTTTTTTTCTGTTCGCAGCATACCACAGACTTCTTTCCACCCTAGAATGATTTATCTCACCGCCTCCCCTCCCCCAGCTCCCCCAGCATATAATATACTATATATATTTATATACACGCACACACCCCCTAATGGTGGTCATGAAGGCTCATCTCGGGCTGGGACCCTTAGGAGTAGAGCCTGAGGATTCCCAAGCAAGTGACTTACTGAGGTCGCGCTCTCAGCAGAAGGGAAGAGATGGAGCAGGATAGGGCAGAATTGCTAAGCAAGGATGTGGGCTCAGCTGCATAGCCCAGGTTCAGTCTGACCCTGTGTGGGGTTGCAGAGCGTGAATTGCTCCACAGAATTCATCCCATCTTCAGCAAGGGGACCGTGGTGGCTTCCATTGGCCTGGGCAGTTCTCTGCAGAAGGTGGCAGTTGAGAACAGTTAGCTACTGATAAAGGGCATCAGGGCAGCATCCACCACAAGACCGATCCCCAGTTTCACAGTTTGAAACCTCACTGCAAGAAACATCCTTGTACATGTATCTTCGGGCATGCTTATTCAACTTTTCTCCCCGAGAACGAATGCCTAGAAATAGAATTGCCTTGTTAAACAGGTTTTATCTATAGCTTTTTTTTTTTTTAATATTGAGATCAGTTCATCTGGATAGTATTCGAGAATATGATGCCAGGGGACTTTTTATTATGTATTTAAGTATAGTCTTTCATATTTTTAAGTATGCAGTACATTTTCTTGTTAAAAAAGAACAACACTGTAAACAATTTCCAGCCCTCTTCCTTCCTATGTCCCATAAGTAGTCACTTCTAACACTTGGCATGTCTCCTTGCAGATTTTTCAGTGCATGCATAAACACATACTTATCTTTTTTAATATGTGAGTTGGATCTTAGAATACAGACTCTTCTGAAACTTACTTTTTCCCCCTCTTAACCTACAGTGGGTTTCTTTGTGTTCCTAACATGTAAAAGGTACGAGATCTACATTTGCTGAAAGAATGAAAAGAATGAAAAAAAATATCAACCTCCTTTTTGAAAAGGTTGTTTAGGATTCCATTGAACGGAGTGAATCACAGCCCCTGAATGGCCCTCAGTGCTGCCTGGAAGCCAGGTCTGCCTCCCTGACCCATTCACTCCCCCATCCCGCTCTTTACACAACTTTGGCAACATGTCTCCTCACACCTCCACTACCTCCTCCCCCACTGTCGTTCTCAGCTAATGACCTCGCTTCTTATTTCACCGAGAGAAGTGAAATAACCAAAAGAGACCTTCAGCAGCTCCCTCCTCTGTCCACCTGCTTGCTTCTGTGTCCTTGTCCTCAGGTCTCCTTCCTGACGTGGTAGATGAACTCCCTTGTGCCTGTCTGAAGCCAACCCTTCTAGCTGGGCGCCGGACACCCTCTCCTCCCCTCTTTCCTGCTCAAGGGCATTCCTTCAGTAATTCTCCCCGCTCTCTATTGCATTGTCAAATTTTCCCATCAGCTAACAAACATGCATGTTATTTCTCCCTCTTTAAAAACAAACAAACCCCTCTTGATTCCACAGCTGCCTCCAGCCATGGTCCTTTAGAGCATAACTCCTCAAAGCAGTTGTCTATACTTTCTTCCTCTCTCTCTCTGTCTTTTTAACATTTTATTAAACCAATTCCCAAACCCACACAAAAGTAGAGAGTGCAAATCCCCATGGCCCCCCCTTTTATTCTTGGAGTCCAAAGCAAACCCCAAAGAGCATGTCATTTCATCCCCCAAATATTTCAGAATGCATCAAAAATAATAAAAAGGACATGTCCTACATGCCACAAAGATATTAGCATGCTGAATGAAATTAGCAATATTGATTTATTACTGTCTAATAACTAGTCCCATAGTCAACCTTCTTCAATTTTCTAGTTTGTTTTAATGAGGATCCAAAAAAGGGCCATTGGTCTTTTTTTGGTGGCTATGTCTCTTAAATCTCCTCTAATCTAAACATGCCCCTTCCCCCTTTTTTCTCCATGTCATTCACTCCTTTGAGGGACCCAGGTCAGTTGGCCTGCAGAATGTCCCATATCCTGGATTTGGCTCATTGCTTCCTCATGGTGTGGTTAAACTGTTCCTCTGTCCATTTCTCTTGAGCCCTTTCCAGCAAGGCTTTCACACCCAAGTGCTCCACAGAAACTGCCTTTGTGAGATTACCGATAGTAACCCCATGTTACTAAATATCATGGCCAATTTTCAGCCCTCATCTTACTTGACGTATCAGCGCAGTTGACTCGCTCATCACTCCATCCTCCCTGAACCGCTTTCAGCATTTGGTTTCTAGGACAGCAGCCTCTAGATTTCCTCCTGCCTCACTGTATGCCCCTCCCCAGGCTCCAGGGCTGGCTCCTCATCTAAATGTTAGAGGCCCCAGGACTCAGTCTTCGGATCTCCTTATCCATTCTTGTATCCTTGGTGATCTCATCCAGCCTCCCGCTCAAAACACCATTTTTAGAGCTGGAACATGAACTTACATATATCTGACTTTAGAGATGAACCACTCTGGTTGTGCTGTCCCTACATATCCCTTTCCTACCAACCTCCTCACCATTCTGTCACTCCTTTCCTCCAAAAGGCTTCCCTTTTTGGGCAGATGTAAATGTGTGCATTTTGCCAGCGGGGAAAGCAAAAAGGATATGGATGGGCCTCGAACCTACGAAGGTCAGCCATCAGCCCTGGAAACCCTCTATATGGCTGTGATGACTAGTCCTAACTATGAGAAAAGAAATAAACGTAATGGTCTTTACTGAAAAACAGTAACAACAAATACCATTTGTAAACTCACACTGCCCCAATTTTTATCCCCAGGTCAGTTTTCTCCCACAAACACTAGACTCGCACGTCCAGCTCCCTCCTCGCCTCTCTACCTGGATGTCTACAAGGCTCTTTTGAAGGCTCTTCAAAGCTTATATGCCCAATTTTGGAAACAATCAGGGGAGTTGAATATGGACTAGGCATTATATAAAACAAAAATTTGTTCATTTGGAAGAGTGGAGATCTTTCATGGATAAAAGCAAGTTACAAAGCATGTATACCATGATTTCATTTTGGTTAAAAACTCATATATGGGGCTGGCCCCGTGGCTTAGCGGTTAGGTGCTCGCGCTCTGCTGCTGGCGACCTGGGTTCGGATCCTGGGCGCGCACCTACGCACCGCTTCTCCAGCCATGCTGAGGCCGCATCCCACATACAGCAACTAGAAAGATGTGCAGCTATGACATACAACTATCTACTGGGGCTTTGGGGGGAAAATAAATAAATAAATAAAATTAAAAAAAAAACTCATATATGAATATATGGTCATTGAAAAAGATATGAAAGGATATACACTAAGGTGTTAATAGTGGCAATCTCTGGGTGGTAGACAATTCTTTTCTTTTTCTCTGATATCTGCATTTTCTAACTTTCTTCAATGCACATGTTCTATTTTTATAATAATAAAAGGCTATTTTGAAATGAAAGGAACACAAGTCTAAAACTGAACTCCTGATCTTTCCCACACCTCCTTCTCCAGCCTTCCTCATCTCAGGGAGTGGCTGTTCCATCCTTCCAGTGGCTCAGGCCAGAAACCTTCAGTTGTCCTCCATGCCTCTCTCTCTCCTAGCCCATACCCATGGCTGCCCTTTAAAAGATATCTAGGATCTGATCATTTCTCACAACTTCCACCACTACGGGCGAAGAGCTGCACAGGAAATTCATGGAATAAATACAAACGGCTAAAGAACATCTGAAATGGTGCTCAATTTCACTGAGTGTCAAACACATGCAAATTAAACTCTGAGGTGTTATTTCTGCCCATCAGATGGGCAAAGATTCCACAGAATGATGATACCCAGTGTCGGCAAGTGTGGGGAGAAACCAGCATTCTCATACACAATGGACAGTGCGGTGAGGAGGCCCCCTAAAGGTGGCAGCCTAGGTGCCCTGAGGGTTTGGCAGTAAGCTCCCTTTGGCCTCTCCCGGCAGTCCCTCTGCTGGACCTGGGCAAGAAGCTGAGCGTGCCCCAGGACCTGATGATGGAGGAGCTCTCGCTCCGCAACAACCGAGGGTCCCTCCTCTTCCAGAAGAGGCAGCGCCGTGTGCAGAAATTCACCTTTGAGTTTGCAGCCGGCCAGCGGGCGGTGAGTAAGCCCCCCTTGTGTTTACACAGAACCTGAGGCCCAGAGATGGCCAGTGGTTAGCCTAAAGCCCAACAGTGGGCCAGGTGAGGACCTCTGGCCTCTGGGGAGTCCCTCACGCTCCAGCTGGGGGAGGCTGTGACGTTCCCATCACACCGAGCCCCGCCTTGCTGCGTGATCGTAGAAGGGTTACCCCTTTAGGCATCTCTCCCCAGATATAAAGCATGAAGTGGATCCAGCAGGAGGAGCTGTGGAGTGAAGGCACTCTGGCTCCACAAAAAGTGCTGAAGAATAGTCACATGCTCCGGGCTGAATTTGCAGCGAGCGGAATTTAGATTAGACTTGAGCTTGATCTAAGATGGAAAACACAGAATGCCTTTTTCTCTGCTTCCTGCTGGGAGAAGGAAAAGACCACAGAACAGTCTGCTGGTAGAGAAAGGAGGCAAGAGCAGTTTATCCTCAGCCTTCAAAAAGGCCGCAGGCAGTTTCAGGTACTTCTCATAAACTCAGGGGCATTCCCCCAACAGCCGCTCAGTTTCTGGGCTAGACAGGAAGCCAGTGAGAGGGAGTGATGTGGCTGAATAATAAAGATGACAAAACACCTACCTTCTCTATGCGAGCAAGACAGTGCTTGCTACAGCCTTTACAGTGTCATCTCATTTAATGCTCACAGAGTGACACTATCGTCACCATCTCCATTTTACAGAGAAGGAAACTGAGGTCCAGGGTCAGTATTACGACAGCAACTAACATGTAGAGCATTTCTCTGTCGCAGGCCCTGGGTTTAGCGCTCTGCGCTGTTAACCCATCCCCCCACCGTCCCCGGGAGGTGGGCGCTTGGATTGTGCCCCTCCTCCCCCTCCCTTTTGTAGGTGGAGAGAGATCCCCGGCCCCCTTGCCCCGCTGAGCCTCCCTGGCTTTATTTGCCCCCACAGATCGTGGCTGGAAGCGCCAAGGGGAAGGTGACTGGAGCGGCAGAGCCCGGGACGGTGAGCGTGGAGGGGACCCCACAGGACGGGAGGCTCGCGGGCAGGGGCCCAGCTGGGACGCCGCGGCTCGCCGCCTCTGAGCGCCCGTCCCTGTGCCCAGGTTGCCAACGGCCCCGAAGGGCAGAACTACCGCTCGGAGCTCCACATCCTCCCGGCCTCGTCCGGGGGTCCCAAGGACGCCCAGCCCGCAGCCTCCCGGGCGGAGACCGCCCGCAGCCCCAGCGCCCTGGCGCCAGGTGAGTGGCTCCCGGGTCCCGGGACCAGGGCTGCGAGACAGGAGCGTGCTCCGCCGTAGGGTAGGAAGAGCGTCTAGTCCATCTGCTTCCCGACACACACACACCCTCCACAGACCCAACACAAGCCCAGAGAAGCGCAGCAAAGAGCCCAAGTTCACACAGCGAGCCAGAGTCAGAGCCAAGACTAGAATCTGCGCCCCAACTCGAGATTCCCCTGCTCCAGTCCTGTTTCCAGGGATGGGGAAGGGTCCCCTTTGCTGGGGCAACTTTAGCGTCACATCCCCCCACAACCCTTCCCCAGCTCGGGTCTTCCCTCCCCTAACTGTATCCGCAGAGTGGGAGTGGGGGCCGAGGGAGGAAGGAACCCAAGGTCCACTCCCGCCCGCCTCCCCCGCGCCCTGCTCCACCCCCAGGCTACGCGGAGCCACTGAAGGGCGTCCCGCCGGAGAAGTTCAACCGCACGGCCATCCCCAAGGGCTACCGCTGCCCGTGGCAAGAGTTCATCAGCTACCGGGACTACCAGAGCGACGGCCCACGTCACACCCCCAGCCCGGCCGAGTATCGGAATTTCAACAAGTAAGGCGGCGGGCAGCTTGGGGAGGGACCTGGAGGGTGAGCGGGAGCCAATCACAACCACAGCGGGAACTGATTTCCTGAGCACTTTCTGCACGCGGGCTGTCTAACACCTCACATACATTGACGGAGCTCCTGCTAGAACTCAGTAGACCTTCTGCCTCAGCACGGGGTAGGCGCTCACTAAATGTACAGGGCATGAGTGGGTGAACCTGTCGCACATCTTGTTGGATCCTCCCCACAACTGGGTCGGGCAGGTGCTACAATGTTTCCTATTCTGCCAGTGAAGAGACTGGCTCAGGACTATCAACAACCTGCCCAAAGGCACAAAGCAAGGAAGCAGCGGCAGGTCTGGGGTCCAGGTCTGGGTTTGTCTCTGGAGCCCAGTTTCTTGTTCTCCATCACTGCTGTGTGCCACCTCTTTGATGGACATCCAGGTGCGTGTTCTTCCCTGGGAGAGGGCCCCAGATCTCACCAGTCCTAGACCAGCTCAGCCTTTTCCTCGCTTTCAGCGATGGTCTGGAAGAGGCCTAGAAAGTGGCTTTGAGGCTTTCCCACAGTGGGGAGTGGCGGTGAAACGTTAGATGTGGAGATGAGAGCCACAGAGGAGTGGCTTGTACTGTTTAGAGCCTCAATGTGGGCTTAAATACAGACACCTGGCTCTGTGACCTTGGGCAGGTGAATTAACCTCGCTGAGCCTCCATGTCTCCATCTGTCAAATGAGATTATTACAGTGCCTACTTCATAAGATTATTGTGAGGATGGCCTGAGAAGCCGTAGGCAAAGTTTCTGGCAAGTAATAAGCTCTCAATAAACATTATTATTATGATTGTTATTATTATTATTTACAGGCTGACATGGTGGTTGGAAAAGCTAACAGGGGAGAAGTTGAAAGGGATAAATTGAACATTCTGCCCTGGGGGCCTGAAACACAACCTGAAAACAAATCACAGGAGTCAAGACAGGAGCTTGGCACTGGAGGAAGTCTTGGGCTGAGGGATGCATTTCAGCTGCAGTTGGCTTCCTCAGTCTGATGCTATTTCTGAAGAATGCTCCTCTGGCCTGGGCTTCATTAACTGAGAGAGAGGAGGGTCCGCAGAGAGGAGGCCACAGTCCAGCTCGTCTGGCACCTGCTCAGACCACACGTGGAGACTGTGTCTGACAGAGACAGATGAATGGTCACCAGGGCCTGGAGACCAGGCCTGTGAGGAAGGGCTGAGGGAACTGGGGGTGATCGGCCTTGAGAAGAGACCGCTCAGGAGGGATGTGTCTGCCCTCGAACAGCTGAACAGTCAGGGAGGGCCAGGACAGGAAGGTTGGGCCCAGCAGGCACTGTGTGAGCCACGAGCCGTTGGCAGCCGTTTTGGGGTTTCCCGCCAGGCAGGACTGTCCTCGCTCTCCTCCTGGGGCCCTCAGCCCCTGCCTGCCCAGCTATTTAAAACCCTCAGCAGACATTCAGTCCTGGCAGCCAGCTTCCAGGCTGGGCAGCTCAGGTCGCAGCCCCATCCATGTCATGCAGCAGGTAGGACAGGCCGAGGCGCATTCCCACCAGCAGAAGGAGGGTCCTGGGGAGCCCTGAGCCCAGACCCCTTCCGGGACAGAAGGGCCAAATGAGGCATAGCGAGGAGGAGCAGCAGTGAGGTGGCCAAACTGTGCTCAGAATCCAGGGCTCCGGGCTCTCAGTCAGGCCCGACTGTGAGGCCTGCTCGGCTTGGAAACCGCCCAGCCTCTTCCCGTGAGGCCTGGCTGTTGCCGCCACAGCTAGGGTGGTCCAGGCAGAAACACTGTTCTGGCTGGAACCCAGGCCCTGGCCCAAGGTCTGCCTTTCCACCCCTGGGGGCAAGCACTCCCCTCCTCCCATTGATCCCTGGCTGCGGGGAAAACACAACAGGAGCAATGCTTTTTATTTTTCTTTCTTTCTTTTTTTTTTTTTTTGTGAGGAAGATCAGCCCTGAGCTAACATCCATGCCAATCCTCCTCTTTTTGCTGAAGAAGACTGGCCCTGGGCTAAAATCTGTGCCCATCTTCCTCTACTGTATATGGGACGCTGCCACAGCATGGCCTGCCAAGCGGTGCCTCGGTGCGGGATGGGGATCTGAACCTGGGCTGCCAGCAGCGGAGCACACGCACTTAACCGCTATGCCATGGGGCTGGCCCCTTTTTATTTTTCTTAAAATTAAAAAATACTTTACAAATCACATCCCTGGGCCAGTCCAGTGGCATAGTGGTTAAGTTCACATGCTCCGTTTCGGTGGCCCGGGGTTTGTGGGTTTGGATCCTGGGTGCAGACCTATGCACCACTTATCAAGCCATGCTGTGGCAGGCGTCCCACATATAAAGTAGAGGAAGATGGGCACAAATGTTAGCTCGGGGCTAATCTTCCTCACCAAAAAGAAAAAAAATCACATCCCTATAGTCTCTTTTTTTAAAAAAACTAGGCAACTGCAAATAAAGTAGGGCTCCTTCATTCACCATCCTCCAATCCTGGTTCCCTTTCCAAAGGTGACACGGTTGTCCGGCTGTTGTGTATGTTCTCAGAACATTGTCGACAGGCAGCTACATACCTAGAGCGCATGTGGCATTGTTTAGTGTGTGTGTGTGCGCACTTTAGTACTTTGTATTTCATTATGTAACTTGTTTTCTCTTTTCACTCAACATTATGCTTTTGAAATCTACCCTACTTTATACGTATAGACCCTGTCATTCCTTTTAAGTTGCTGTATACTATTCCATCATGTGAAGACACTACGTTTGTCTTGTCCAATCCTCTGCCGATGGGCAGATGGGTTGCTTCTGGTTTGTCACTAGTCACTGCTTCTCTCTACTCCCTCGTCACCCATGCACTTGTTTCCCTAAGCCATATGCTTAAGGTGGAGTTGCTGGTTGACAGAGTTTGCACATTTTTAAGTTGAAAAGATCTTGCCAAATTGTCCTCCCAGGTAGCAGCACCAACTTACCCTCCAAACAGCAGTATATGAGTGAAATTTGCCCCTACCACCTCACCAACTTTGCCCCATTATCAAATTATTTCTTCTTGCCAGTCTTATGGGTGAGAAATGGTGTGTCTCTGTTGTAATCTGCATTTCCCTGATTCTCAGTGCTCTTTCTAATCCTCCTTTCTCTCCCCAGTTTGTGGGTATATTGTTCTAAGGGGAGATAAAAAGGGGGATGAAAACCCTATCCCAGCTCTACTCCCTTCTGGAGCTTACTTAAGGGGAGCCTAGAGTTTCGCCTATGACAAGCCACGTCTAACTCTGAAAACTTCACTCCTATTCCCCAGCAACACGCCACCCCAACTAGGGGCAGACTTGGGAATGGGCAGACTGCATAAAACTGCCCAAGATAGTACAAAACCTTGCTGTATAGAAGGGGAAACTGAGGCCCAGAGAGAGGCAGGGAGGGGGCCCTGCTTGGTGACCCGCATGTCAGTGTTCTGTCACCCCTTTCCCACACAGCCCACCTCTCCTGCTGCTCTTCTTTCCCCAGGACCCCGGTGCCCTTCGGAGGGCCCCTGGTGGGGGAGGCCGTTCCCAGGGCGGGCACTCCCTTCATCCCGGAGCTCGCCAGTGGCCTGGAACTCCTCAGCCTGAGACCCAGCTTCAACAGAGTGGCCCGGGGCTGGGTCCGCAACCTCCCGGAGTCCGAGGAGCTGTAGCCCCAGCCTGAATCTTCAATTCCCCAGTCTCAGAGTTCGGGTAACATCTGGAGGCAAGACTTACGGACGGCACTTCACATACAAAACCCACTGCAAATGGCCTCAAAGGCCGCAAAGTTCAGTAGTCCCCAAACGTGGTGTGCTTCAAAATTACCTGGGGATGTTATTTTTAACACAAATCTCTGTCCCGCCCCAGACATGCAGTGTCAGAAAGCCCTGAGCTGGGGAGGCTCTGAGGAGCACCAGTACTCCCAGGTGATTCCAGTGTCCTGGTCTGTGTCTTTAGGAAGCCCAAGCACCGCTGAATCACATCCTGCCTCCACTCCGCCCTGCTCCTGCGCTCCAGCTTACAATCCCCAGTGACTGCGAGCTCACTGGCTGCCCATCTGCCTGTGAATAACTCTGATCATGAGAAAGGTTTTCGTTTTTCTGAGCTGCAGTTGGTCTTTATCTACTCATGCTGTAAACATTTACAAAGCACCTACTGTGTGCTAGATGCTGTGCCAGCCCCAGGAAGAGTGTGTGGTGAATAAGCCCAGGCCCTGGCCTAGAGGAGGAGAAGACAGATTTGTAAAGCAGGAGATCTTAATTTTTCCCTAAAGCATGCTAACTGACAATTGAGGAACAAAGCCCCACGAGGCAGAGGAGGGGGCCTCTCACCCTGGGTGTGGGGTGGGATTCTGGGAAGCTTCCCAGAGGACTTGAGTGGGACCTCAGGGGAGGAGTGAGTCCATCAAGGGAAGAGGGTGTGATGGGGAGGGCATTGCTGGCGAGCGGACCAGCCCATGCAAAGGTGCAGAACTGTCATAGGTGCAGGGTGTTCTGGAGAAGGGAGAGGGCAATGTTAGAGGAGCCAGCGACTCCTCAGAGGGCACAAGTGGGGCGGGGCTGTACTAAGGAAATGGGGGAGGTTCTTCAGCTGGGGAGGGAGGTTGCCATGTGAGGCACAGATTGGAAAGGAATAAGGCCAGGAGCCAGGAAGCCTTCAAGGAACAAGGCCTGGACTAGGGAGGTGGCCATGGGGACGGGAAGAAGGGGCACCCCTGTGGGCACCTTACAGGACAGGTGCAAAGTGGGGCGCTTCTAAGGACTCCTTCTTTCCACCTCCTTCCGCTCACCATTCTGAGCAGGCCCCAGGGTAGATCTTGTCCTGGTCCCTGCAGGAGTAGCTCGGGGCTCTACTCCGGCTCACTAGGAAGAGGAGAGAAAGGAATGCCTCTTAGTTCAAGTGATGGTGATGGTGATGGTGATGGTGGTGATGGTGATGGTGATGGTGATGATGTTGATGGTGATGGTGATGGTGATGGTGATGGTGATGGTGATGATGATGATGGTGATGGTGGTGGTGATGATGATGGTGATGACGATCACGATGATGGTGATGATGGCTGCTTTTTATTGGGTGCCTCAGTGCTAGGGCTGGTAGTAGGTTCTCTACATATCCTATTTCTAATTTTCAGTGCAAACCTGAGAGAAAAGTGTTGTCCCATTTTACAGATGTGGATATCCAGGCTCAAAAGGGGAAAGTGACTTGTCCAGGGACAGAGCCAAATGGGAATCTGCCCGATTCCAGTGGATGTCTCTTTTCACTTTACTGACTGGCCACACCGGTGCCCACTCACTCTGGAATCTCCTTGCCATGGTGCCCTGCCTTAGAGTTTAGATGTTAAGAGTGCAGGCTGGGGAGTCAGACTGGATGGGATGGGTTCTAACTGCTAGCCGTGTGAACTTGAGCAAGTTGTTTCTTGTCGGTGGGCCTGTTTCTCCACCTGTGAGATGAGAACAAGAGTGGAAGCCCTGTATAGAGTTGTGAGCACAGGGACGGACACATGCATAGTAAGCGCTCAGTCACTGTTAGAGTTCATGCAACTGCTGCTCTTGACTGGAAAAGATGTTCTTGCAGTGGATGCAGCCTGAGAATCAGGCCGCCAGGATGTCACTGGGGGTCAGTCAAGCTGAAACACGAAGAAAAGCCTCTGATCACTGGAGGGCTCCCTTTGGATACGAATTACCTCCTTCCCCTGCCTCCCTCTGCCTCCTGCCTGACTCCTTCTCTTGGGAAGATGAGAAGGTGAGGAATCCAGCTGGTTCCCAGGGTGCATGGATAGTAGTTGCATTTTCCTTTTGCTCTGGGGTTTCACTGTGCCCCACACAGCCTCAAGGGGCCAGCAGCTTAGAATTGCTTGCGATCAATGTATTGTCTTGAATTTGGGAGCTGCTGTTTAAAGCCATGCTTTCATGAGCTGAAAACCAACCATGAAACTGTCTGAAACATAGAAGAGAGGACTCGGTCTGCCTTGGGTTGGCTCTGCTGTGCTCTGGAGGGTCATGGCAGCTGCCAGGTACAGATGAAGAGAGCCTGCTGGGGAGCCTGCTGCACCCCAAAGCAAATCCTCTTCCTTTCTTCTGATAATGTGACTTTTGCTGATGTTGTAAAAAAAAAAAAAAAAAAAAGATTGCTTATTGTAAAAATACATAAATAAACAAAAAATTAAATAAATAAAGGAAGACAAAATGTGAAAGTATCTGCCTACATAGCTCCTCCCATGCACATACATAGACCTTCCCACCCTCCTGCATTCTGCCCCATTCCCACATACCTGAGGTAACCACTGGTAACAGTTTGGTCCTTCTAGAATTCTAGAATTATTTGAATATATAAATATGTACATGTGTATAGATGCATGGGTATAAAGATATGTCTTTGTTTTAATGGGATCATACTATATGTATTATTCTGTATTTTGCTTCTTTATTCAACAAGTAAAATTTGGGTCCTGAAAAAGCAGGGCATTAACCTTTCATGTAATTTGGGGGCCTAACAAGCCCTTCATGTAAAACTCTATACTTTTGCCTGTTTTCGTTCTTTATATAAATCAAATACAGTGACATGGAAATGAAGAAGACTGAGAATAGCTAAGACATTGGGAAAGTTGACATTAGATATAGCAGCAGTGAATATAAATGAACTACAGTTACAGGCAACAATACAGACGCATCTCAGAAACAAAATGGTAAGCAAAGGAAGGCAGATACAAACATATGTTTACTGCAAGGGAGTGTTTAATATAAAAGTCGAGATAGTGGTAACTTTGGGAGGAAAGAAAAGTTTGTGATTGTGAAGGGACACATAAAATGCTTCTGAGGAAAGCTGGAAATGTTCTATTTCTAGATCTGAGTGATTGTTACAAATATTTAATTTAGTTGTACATCTGTGTTTTATGAACTTTTTATCTATGTGTGTTATATTTTACCAAAACAATCCCTCCTTTTAAAAAAGTTAAAGGACAGATTAATAGTAGGTCAGATGTACCTGAAGAAAGAATTAGTGAACTAAAATGCCCATAAGGTATCACAAAGAGGTAAAGAGATGGAAAATATGAGAGAGAAATGAAAAGAGATGGAGAATAAAATGAAAACGTCCAACAGTACTAATAGGAGTTCCAGAAGGAGTTTAAAAATGACTAGGGATTTTCCAGATTTGATAAAAGACATAATTTCCTATAATCTTCACCCTATCATGAGAAGGATAAATTAAATCCACACTTAAAAACCATTGTAGTGAAATTGCAGAACTCCAAAGTCACAGAGAAATTTCAAAGGCACCCAGACAAAAAAGTTAGATTATCTATAAAAGAACAATACTTAGAATGACAGCAATAATAAAAAAAAATCTTCAAGAAGTTAGAGGAAAATTAATTTTCACACAATCAAATATTAAGAGAGTTTTCTACTAACCCCTGAAAGAATTACATAATAACATGTTTTGGGAAGGATCCAGAAAGAAAGTGTAGACTCTAAGAAGCAATGGTGAGCAGAGAAATAATTCAATACATGGCAGGAAGGATGAAAAAGAAGCAAAGAAAAGGCACATAAAATAAAGTGGTATAAGTACATTTAAATATATCAGTTACCTGGGGCTGGCCCAGTGGCATAGTGGTTAAGTTCATGTGTTCTGCTTCAGTGGCCCAGTGTTCGCCGGTTTGGATCCTGGGCGTGGACCTACTCACTGCTCATCAAGCCATGCTGAGGCAATGTCCCACATAGAAGAGCTACAACTCTACAGCTATGTTATATAACTATGTACTGGGGCTTTGAGGAGGAAAAAAAAGAGGAAGATTGGCAGCAGATGTTAGTGCAGGGCCAGTCTTCCTCAAAAAAAAAAAAAGTGAGAAATCATTAAAAAAATATATATATATATATGTGTGTCAGTTATCACAATAAATGTAAATGAATAAGATTCACCAGTTTAAAGATAGAGACTCACAGATTGGATAAAAAGTAATTCCAGCTCTATGCTGTTCACAAGCAGCACTCCTAAAAGTATGATACAGAAGTAAAATAAAGAAGTGGAAAAAGATAAACCAGTTGAAGACTATCTCAAAGAAATGGGTTCTAGCTATATTAACATCTGGCAAAAAGCATTATTGTGATAAAGATCCTTACGTAGTGATAAACCCATAATCATAGTGGAAGATTTAACACAAGTCTTTCAACAGTTGACAGACAAATGATGAACAAGTATATAGAAAATGTGAACAATAAAATGAAAATGTAGAATCCTGCACCACCAAATCAGAGAATACTCACTATTTTCAACTATCTATGACACATTAAAAAATGAACACATGAGATTAAAAACTTTTGTGCATCAAAGGACACTATGAAGAGAGTGAAAAGACAACCCATGGAATAGGAGATTATAACTCAAAGAATAAAGCAAATATCCCTGAATCCGTAATAATATAAATAAATGATTGAATACATAAATAAATAAGGGAAAAGAGACAAACCTTCCTTCCTTCCTTACAGAAGACTTCCAAATAATATATGTGGATAACCCCCTTCAGGAGGTGGAGCTTAATTCCCCTCCTATTGATTATAAATTGGACTTACTGACTTGCTTCCAAAGAATAGAGCATACGAAAGGGATATAGTAACTTTACAAAGAAGAAATCTGGAGGGTACCACCTTAACCAAGTGATGAAGGTTAACATCATCAGTGATATTCAAATTCCTGATATGAGGTGATGAGAAGGACAATCCCTCTTGTGATATTTTCCCCCAAATCCATAACCACAGTCTAATCACGAGAAAGCATCAGACAAACCCAAATTGAGAGATATTCTAGAAAATATCTGACCAGTACCCTTTAAACCTATCTAGGTCATGAAAAACAAGGAAAAGACTGAGGAACTGTCACAGATTGGAGGAGACTAAGAAGACGTTACGATTAAATGTAGTGTGGTAGTCTGGATTGGATTCTGGAACAGGGAAAAAATGGTGAAATCCAAATAAAGACTTAGTTTAGTTAATAGTATTGTACCAATGTTAATTTCTTAATTTTCACAACTCCGCCATGGCCGTGTAAAATGTCAACATTATGGGAAGCTGGAGAAAGAGTAAAGAACCCTTTGTATTATCTTTGCAACTTTTCTATAAATCTAGTTATTATTTTTTAAAGTTTCAAAAGTAAAGAAAAAAAAAATCCCACAAAGAAAACTCCAGGCCCAGATGGCTTCACGGGTGAATTGTATCAAACATTTAAGGAAAAAATAATAGCAATGTTACACAAACTCTTTCAAAATATAGAGGAAGAGGTAACATTTCCAACATATTTTCTAAGGCCAGAAGAAGCCTGACAAAGATGTTACAGAAGAGAAAATTTAAGACCAATATCTCTCGTGAACATAGACACAAAAAACAGGTTATATATATAGATTTATAAATACATCAACATATGATGTATAAATATATGAAATACAGTATGACTTATTGGGTCATATGGCTTGAAATGGGTGAAGGGGTCAAAAGGCACAAACTTCTAGCTATAAGATAAACAAGTCATGGGATGTAACGTACAGCAGGGTGACTATAGTTAACAATACTGTGTTGCATATTTGAAAGTTGCTAGGAGAGTAGATCTTAAAAGTTCTCATCACAAGAAAAAAATTTGTAGCTGTGTGAAGTGATGGATGTTAACTAAGCTTATTTTGGTAATCACTTCTCAATATATACATATATCAAATGTATATTTGCTCATGTTGTACACTTTAATACAATGTTATATGTCAACTATATCTCAATCAAATTGGGAAAAAAATAAAAATTTAAAAATAAATAAAAATAAAATACATTATGACTAAGGTTTATACCAGGAATACAAGCTCAGTTTAACATTTAAAAATCAATGTAATTTACCACATTAACATAGTAAAAGAGAAAACCGTATGATGCAGAAAAAGCACT